AAGAAGAAGAAGAAGAAGAAGAAGAAGAAGAAGAAGAAGAAGAAGAAATAATGAAATTGATGACATGTGTGGTTGTGTGAGGATGATGACTAACAAGATCATTCCAACATACCTTAGGAAAGAGGAGGATGTGCCAGAAAGGAGAAGAGGAGGAGGAGGGGGAAGTTAAGTAGCCATGGTGTGTGAGAATTCCTACCACTTCTAATGTTGTATGGAGTATGGAGTTCAAAAGAGGGAATGCTTCTTTGTTTATCTAATTACCAAGAGCTCCTGCAGAGCTTCTGACAATCTCTAGCTCGCATGGAATCCCAAATAGGAAAACCGCATGCAAAAAGATCATACTAACCACCTAATACAGATTAGGGTCAACCAAGTAATGTTTTTTTTTTTTTTTTGCAATTGTTTCTCCTTTCTCCTTACTTACAGCACTGCCTTTTCCGGATCCCTGGGGAAGCTTGGTAGATTTCCTGTAATGTAAAACTGGGAGCAGTGCAGAGTCCCTTCCATATTACCTTTTTCTGCGGCTTTATAGAAATATCCAGCCGCAGCAGTCTGCCAAAGGGGGGAGAGAAAATAGATGTTGCACAGGTATGTGTAACTTCCATCTACATTTTTTTTTTTTAAAAAAATCAAAATTCAGCTGCCCTGAAACAGATTTATAATTTAAGTGCTGGTAGTCTTTAAATTTCTGTTGCTAAGTGGGACATTAGTTAAGTCAATTTTGTCCCATTTTATGACTGCAGTACCCCATTTCCCTGAAAATACGACCTACCCTGAAAGTAAGTCTGAGCTTGATTTTTTTTTTTTACTCATGTGCCCAATATAAGCCCTCCCCCCAAAATAAGCTCTAATTAAGCTCCTGGCCACTCCAGAGTGCACGGGTACAATTTCAGCTAGGGTGAGGATGGGAGGGTGGATCTGCCCTACTACTTTCCTTTGGACAGTTGTAACCAGGCCTTGCACATACCGACACCTGCCTGGCCGGCCCATTTCTTCTGCAGCTGGCAAGGCTGGCAAGGCTTTCCTGAAGGCCTCTGTAGTTGATAGCAAAGCTCTGGATCAGTCCAGAGCTCTCTTATCAGCTGCAGATGCCTTCAGGAAAGCCTTGCCGGCTGCAGAAGAAATTCCTGAAGGCCTCTGACAGCGAAAAGGAAGCCAGGGGCAACGCACACAAATGAGGTTAGTCAGAGGATGACATCCCCTGAAAATAAGACCTGGTGCCTTTTTTGGTGGCAAAAATTTTTAAAAGACAGGGTCTTATTTTCGGGGAAACACCCTACATAGACACACAGTTGTTAAGTGAATCTGGCTTCCCCACTGACTTCACTTGTTGTAGGATGAATAAATCTCTTCCTCCAAGGAACAAGTCTTTGGTGTCCAAATGGTTGAGGGGATCATTGGTTTCTGGGACAGTGAAAAATTCACACTTACCCGATTTCTACCCGTCGTTCCTGGATACAGTCCATCTAAATGCAAAACCCCAAGGTTGAAGGTAGCCTCTGGACTACCCATGGCTTCGGCTTTTAGCCAATATTTGGCTGCTTTGGCATAATCTCTTTTAAAGGTGTGATAATACCAGCCAAGGCCGTTGACTGCCTGGGGGAATCCCTGTTGGGACAAGGGAGAAAAAAAATCAATAAAAGACATAATGGACAAACCGCCACGCAAGTTAGTATGAAACGAAATGAAATTTGATGGGAGAGAAAGGCAAGGTGTTACACTTAGGCAGGGAAAACAGATCTGTTGTGGCCAGCCAGTGGTCAGAGAAGCTGGCAGCAGGGTTGGTCAGTGAGGAGGTTGGGGAGGAACCTGGGCCAGTCCTGGAGTCTGGGGAAAGCTCGGACGAGGGTTCTGCATTGGAGGATGAGATGGGGCCAGGGCCATCTGACAGTTATCAGCTGCTTTCGGACTCAGAGTTCAGTGGGGAAGAAGAACAGCTGGAGCCTGTTCCCAGTGTGTGCATGCACAGAGCTGCCAGAAGAAGGGAACAGCTAAGGAACAAGGCTCAGGTGGACGGTGAATGACTCGGGAATAAAGGCTCAGGAATAAGGGCTCAGGTAGACGGTGAACGGCCCCTCCCATAGGGAATAAAGAGGAGCAAAAGGAGAGTGGGGTTTGCAAGAGACAATTAGTTCATTTGAGTAAAGATCTGTTCCTGCATTCTTGCCAAGTATTGCCCACTATAGCATGACGTCTGAAAGATATTGGCCTGGCAACTCTCCAAGCCTGATAAGGTCTGTAGCTGTGAAAGTTCTTGAAAGACTGTTGGCCAGGATTTTGCTGGAAAGGAATTCACTGTAAACTAAATAAAAGGGTCTGGTTTCTACCTTTGAAGAGGCCTTTTTCATCAGCTGGAAAGCAAGACGTCGGTTCCTTTTCACCCCTTGGCCCTAAACGATGAGAAAATAATAATAATAATTTCCAAATATCTTAAGCCTCTTTTTTTTCATACAGGAAAGGGAGGGAAGCACTTTTATCAAAAATTGAAATCTTCTGTTTGCAAAGGAAAAAGTACAATAGTTTGTGTAGTGACCCCTCAAAATTAAACAGCACTAAAAAGAGAAAGTGACTTATGACCGTTTTTCATACTGAAAACCGCGGCGATTCACAACAGCGATAGTGAGAAAATTCATAAAAGGGGGGGGCAAAACTCGCTCGATGAGTGTCTTGCTTAACGACAGAAATGTTGGGCTCCATTGTGGTCGTAAGACGAGGAGTACCTGGAAGAGGAATGTAGTAGGACCAAGTTTGACGTGGGTGATGGAACTAGATGTCCTTCCTTCTTTCCTTTCCCTCATTCCTACCTTCCTCGTGATAACATTACAGAGATTACATTTAAAAAGAGTAAGAAAACATCCCCCGAAGCAGTGGTGGTATTCAGCTGGTTCACACCGGATCGGGCGAACCGGTAGCAAGGATTTGTCGTGGGTCGCCGAACCGATAGTAAGTTCCTGAGCCTTAGAGGAGCCTTACGGGAGCAAAAACGCCCCCCCAGAGGCTCCTCTGAAGCCCAGAGGGCCCCCAAAACAGGTGGGGGGGTGGATGCAAAAAAGCAAAAAAAAAAAGGCACGCCCACCCAATCACAGGGCCACGCCCACCAAGCCATGCCCAAAGAACCAGTAGTAAAAAAATTTGAATCCCACCACTGCCCCAAAGTATTCGTTTAAAAAAAAAAAACATTTACCTTGAATAACACAATGGAATAGTCAAATAAAGAGACTGGGTCTTCATTTTCCAAAGCACCCTTTGCATACCATTCCACGGCTTTCCTTATATTTTTTTCTACTCCTTGCTGGCCCCAGAAAAGCATCTGTCCCAGGCGTTGCTAAATCAAGATAAAATGTTCCAATAGGAAATTGTTAGCCCTGCAAAGGTAGTCCAGAAAAAAAGAAAAAGCAGTACCCGGAGCGCCTTGATTCTATCTTTATTATATAAGTTTATATTCACAGAAGTACAAAAATCAAAATATTTCCCCCTCCTTTTCCGTTTAATCTCTGGAAAACTAGGGGTGGTCCTGTCGGAAATGTTTCTCAGGCTTCCCTCCCCTCTTCTGTGGTTGAGACATCTTTCACAAGGCCAGGTGTCCACTTCAGTTCTCCCTCCTGTCTGTTGTGGCCTGCCAGTGGCCAACAGAGCTGGCGGCAGACAGTGAGGAGGTTGAGGAGGAACATGGGTCAGTCCTGGAGTCTGGGGAACGCTCTGTCAAGGGCTCTGTGTCAGAGGCAGAGATGGGGCCAGGGCCGTCGAACAGTTATCAGCTTCTTTGGAGTCGGACATCAGTGGGGAAGAAGAACAGCTGGAGCCTGTTCCCAGTGTGGGTGTGCACAGAGCTGCCAGGAGAAGGGAACAGCTAAGGAACAAGAGTCAACTCGGGAGTAAAGCCACAGGTGGATGGTGAATGGCCCCTCCCAGAGGGAATAAAGAGGAGCGAAAGGGGAGTGGGGTTTGCAGGAGACAATTAGTTCAATTCATTAGGGTGAAGATCTGTTCCTGACTTCTTGCCAATTAATTGCTGCCACAGCGTGGTGTTTGGAAGCTATCCGTCTGGCAACTCTCCAGCCTGATAAAGATCTGAAGTTGTGAAATCTCATGAAAGACAGTTTGCTGGACTTTGTTGGAGAGGAATTCCCCTTAACCTAAATAAAAGGAGTTTTATCGGGATGAGGAGTCAGACTTCATGATCTTGGGAAAGCCTAGACCAGAACAACGGATTTTGTTTACCTGTGCGGCCGAATCTCCTCTTACTGCTTCATGTTTCAACCACATGAAAATATCCCCATTTTCTTTGGCCAAGGCTTTTAGTAACTCATCATCCTGAAGTCTGATTGCTTCAACCAAGGCCTAAAAAAAGAAAGGAAAAGAGAGCAAACACCGTAAACCCATCACGGCAAAATATCCTTCTTTCTACAGGAAGTTGAAGCTACTTGTCCTGCAAGCTCCAGACGAAATGAGGCAGGGGGGGCCTGTTCCAGAAGAAGCGTTGCCCTGGGACTTTCGGTGTCCCCCTTTTGATCTTCAGCACATGGCTTCCCATATTTATATTTGATTAGTATTTGGATGGGAGGCTGTTTGGCAATTCCAGGGTTTAGGGGAGAGAACAGAGAGGGAGGGGAGAGAGAGATGAGAAAGAGAGATAGAAAGATACAGAGATGAGAGAGAGAGATGATACAGAGATAGATACAGAGAGAGATGATATAGAGATAGAGACAGAAAGAGAGATGAGAGAGGGAGATAGAAAGATGAGAGAGAGACATGATACAGAGATAGACACACACACACACACACACAGAGATAATATAGAGATAGAGACAGAGAGAGAGTAGACAGAGATGATATAGAGATAGATAGAGAGACAGAGAAAGAGAGATGAGAGAGGGAGATAGAAAGATAGAGAGATGAGAGAGATATTATACAGAGAGAGAGAGAGAGAGAGAGAGAGAGAGAGAGAGAGATGATATATATAGAAAGAGACAGAGAGAGAGAGGACAGAGAGATGATATAGTGATAGATATATGTATAGAGAAAGAGATGAAAGAGGAAGATAGAAAGATAGAGAAATGAGAGTGGTATTATACAGAAATAGAGAGACAGAAAGGGGGAGAGAGAGAGATATGAGAGAGGGAGCTAGAAAGATAGAGAGATAAGAGAGAGATTATACAGAGAGAGAGAGGGAGAGACAGAGACAGAGAGACAGAGACAGAGATGAGAGAGGTGGATAGAAAGATAGAGAGATGAGAGAGAGAGATGATATAGAGATGGACAGACAGACAGACAGACAGACAATTTCCTTGACTTGAATAATGGCTCGTTATGGATATGTTTGACTTTTTCAGTCTAGCCTACAGCCCTGGAATTGCCAAACAGCCTCCCATCCAAATACTAACCAAGTTCAAACCTTCTTGGCCTTTCAAACCCAATTGCAGATAGCTTGGTGCTGCCATATAGCCAGGCAACATAATAGAGGTAGTCTTTGACTTACAACAATTCGTTTTGTGACCCCTGAAAGTACTGTAACAACAGCACTGAAAAAAAACAGTGACTTACGGCCATTTTTCACAGTTACAGCCATTGCAGCACAAAATTCAGATGCCTGGCCACCAATTCATATTTATGACGGATGCGGTGTCAATCCCCTTTTGCAACCTTCTGACAAGGAAAGTTCAACAGGGAAACCAAATTTGCTTTACAACTGGGTTACTATCTTAACAATGGAGGTGATTCGCTTAACAACAGGGGCAAGCAAGGCTGTAAAATGGGTCAACCCTCCCTTAACAAATGCCTCAATCCTTTTACCTGATCTCTTCCTCTGGATTGTTGATCACGGGGTGTCTTTAGAGCCACGTCACTATAGTAAGCATAAGAGACCTCAAGATCCTGGGGATAATTACTAACCCCCTGGTAGTGCTTGTAGCCAAGATTCATCAAAGCCAGCCGGTCCCCTTCCTGAGCTGCAACCAAGCTATAGAGCAATCCCTGCAAAGGGTGAGATAGTTGGCAATCGAATCGGCACTGGGGAAGCCTTTAGGTCAGACCCAGGAAAAGCAACATCATATTATATTGCCGATTGCAAAATAAACCATAGCAAATGCAGAAATGTGGAAGTAGGAGCTCAGCTGATCAATCAGTTGGTCAGTCAAGAATGGAGCTAGAAGGCACCCTGGAGGTCATTTAGTCCAGTCTCTTGCTCAAGCATTTCTCAACCACTTGACTCATTGTTTTTCCATCCTTCCGAGGTGGGTAAAATGAGGACCCAATTGCTCCTGCTCCTGCCCTATTGCTCCTGCCAGGATGGCGCCGACAACAGCTGCCTCGGTGAAATGCTTTCTGTTATGTCTGTGGAACTGGTTGGAGTTCCCAACCAGGTCCGCTGTTTGAGCGGGAGCACCAGCCGCTCCCATTGGCTGGCTCCATTTGACAGTCGGCTATAAAAGCCGGCTGTTGAGCAGAGCCAGCCCTGTTGTCGCCAGCTAGTCTGCTAGTTAGCAAGCAGACGCGACAACCCTTTATTCTCTGCAATAAAGCCTTGTTTGTTGTACGCTCTGGCTTCTGCCTCTTCCTTACCATCGCTCTACAACACTGGCGACGAGGATGGGATACGGTCGTAGGCTAGCCAGACGCGTCTGTTTCAAAGAGCTGTAGTCACTGAGAGCGAAGCCACGAGCGCTGAAGCCGCAGCCGCCAATGCTCACAAAGAGCGCGAAATTCAAAAAACCGCCATTGCTTTGAGCTGTACTCACTGAAGCGAGCCACGGGCGCTGTAGCCGCGGCCGCCGGCGCTCACAAAGAGCGCGAAATTCAAAAGAGCTCCGTAGCCTAGAGAGACAGTCACAGCCTGCGCTCTTTTAAGAGTGCGAGTTCGAAAGACGACTGAAGAAGACGAACCCTGCAATTTCACAATGAATGCTAATCCAGCATTCCCACCATTCAAGCCAAACGAGGAAACGTGGGACTCCTACAAAAATCGTTTCAGCCATTTCCTCAATGCCATCGGGTTAGCTGACGCTGCTGAACATAGGAAGAAGTCCTATTTCCTCAGCTATTGTGGGGCTGCAGTTTTTGACACCGCTACAGCGTTAGTCGCCCCACGCACTATCAGAAGCGTCCCATGGGATGAACTACAAGAAATCCTCTCCAACCACTACTCACCAAAACCATCCCAGATAGCCAGGAGGTACGCCTTCAGAATTAGAAAACAGGCAGAGGGGGAGTCAATCAACGAGTATATGGCAGCCCTGAGGACAGCTGCCTTGCAGTGCGGGTTCAAAGACTACTTAGAAGACATGTTGTTGGACCAGATCGTCTGTGGGGTTAGAGACCTGAGACTCCAAAGACGTTTGCTGGCAAAAAAGGACTTGAATCTATCCCTAGCCATGGAGGAAGCCCTAGCTGCTGAGCTCTCTGCCCAATCAGCAGCTGAGATTCAAGGCGCTCCATTAAAGCCCAGCAGTTCCACCATCCATTCAGAAGAAGTGCTCAGTGAAGAAGACCCCACAGACTCATCAGACATTAACCGCCTTAAGCATCAGAAGCCTTCACAGGTAGGAGCGGGACAGAGAAACAACTTCGCCCCCAAACAACCTCCCATTTGCCTAACCTGCGGAGGCTCCCACTCTAGGGCATCCTGCAGGTTTAGAAACGCCATCTGCCTGAATTGCCAAAAGAAGGGTCACCTCGCTAGAGTCTGCCAAGCAGGGCGCACTTTGCCTCAAAGACCTCCACCACCTTCTAATTCCCAAAGGCAAGTGGAGGACTGCTATACCTGCTACCACGCTAACCATACTTCCCAAACACCTGATAAAATCAAAATTTCTGTTTTCCTAGAAGGTAAACCCTGCAGGATGGAGGTAGACACGGGATCTGCGATCTCAATCATCTCCTGGGAAACCCTGAAGAAGATCCAGCCCAGACTGTCAAAGAAGCAGCTACAAAGATGCCACCTGACACTGCGGGACCCGGTCTTCCCCGTCGATCAGGAGAGTTTGCTGGAGGACCCGAGTTTCCGGCTAGAATCACTGAACCAACAGCCGAGCGAGCCAGTTTGCCAACCGGACCTAGCGACTCGCCCAGGTCAGCCCGAACAGGGGGAATCACTGAACTCTCAGAACACTACGCCAGGTCAAGCCCATGCCCCAACGACCGTCGAGGCGTGTCCCGAGGGCCTGGACTTGACACCAGCCAACAGTTTACCCGAGCTGCGACGTTCTGGTCGCCAGCGCAGACAACCTACTTACCTACAGGACTACGCATGTTCCCAGCTGGGGGAAAGGAGTGTTATGTCTGTGGAACTGGTTGGAGTTCCCAACCAGGTCCGCTGTTTGAGCGGGAGCACCAGCCACTCCCATTGGCTGGCTCCGTTTGACAGTTGGCTATAAAAGCCGGCTGTCGAGCAGAGCCAGCCCCGTTGTCGCCAGCTAGTCTGCTAGTTAGCAAGCAGACGCGACAACCCTTTATTCTCTGCAATAAAGCCTTGTTCGTTGTACGCTCTGGCTTCTGCCTCTTCCTTACCATCGCTCTACAACACTTTCTAATGGTACTGGGAGTATTTACACCAAGACAAATTCCTTGTGTGTCCAATCACACTTGTCCAATAAAGTATTCTATAATAATCTAAGTGCAATTGCTAGTCGTTCCTTCCTTTTCCTTTTCATTTCTGTCCTTTTCATTCTTTTCTCCTTCCTTTCTTCCTTGCTTCCTTCCTTCCTTTTCACTTTCATTTCCTTCCTTTTCATTTTTCCTTCCTCCCTCCCTCCCTCCCTCCCTCCCTCCCTCCTTCCTTCCTTTTTACTTTGATTTCCTTTCTTTTCATTTCTTCCTCCTTCCTTCCTTCCTTCCCTCCCTCCCACTGGTTAGAATACAGTATAACCCGATCCCTTCTTGTGACCTTCTGACCAGCAATCTCAATGAGGAAGCCAGATCCACTTCCCAACCGTGCTACTATCTTGACCCCTGCGGTGATTCCCTTAACAACGGTGGCAAGCGAGTTCATAAAAGGGGGGCAAAACTCCCTTAACAAAGTTCTCACTTACCAAGGGGAATTTGGGGCTGAGTTGTGGGAAGCCTTGGGAACCTTGGGAGGTCAAAAAATGGGCCTTCTGGAAATACCGGAAGTGGCGAAATGGGCCCATTTTCAGGCTCCAGAGGTTTCCCTCAAGCCTCCGTGAGGGCAAAAACGGCCTCCCCCGGGCTTCCAGTATTTCCAGAAGGCCCATTTTTCAGCCTCCCAAAGCTGCAGAGGCTTCTCTCAAAGCCTCCAGGAGGGCGAAAATGGCCTCAAATGGGCTGAAAATCAGCTGGGAGGTGCACACATGCGCAGTGCAGGTAAGTTTGGCTGGGGCTCGCATGCCCGCACAAATGGCTCTGTGTGCCACCTGTGGCACGTGTGCCATAGGTTTGCCATCACAGAACTAAAATAAATAAAATAAAATAAACAGACCCCCGCCCCCAGATGTCTATAAATACTGGAGCAGAAATGCAAGTAGCCAACCTCTTACCTTAAGTGGGTCTGGAGATACACCTAGTCCAATTTCGAAGATGACACCAAGAACATAAGAAGCTCTGGAATATCCACAATGGCTGGCATCCTTCAGGGCCAAAATGGAGGAGTTGATATAGAGTAAGCCATCCATTCGTGACAGGTTTCGAGCAGCCTCCTCGAACAACCTGCGTCCAATTTGGAATGCTAGATCCTTCTTGGGTTTGGATACTACAAATAGTAAGGTACAACGTATTATCAAGCCAGTGAACTGGTTTCGGATCTCTGCTTTCTTCCACCAGCATGTTTTTATCCCCCAGGAATGTCTACAATCAGGGAGTGGGATGCTGGGGGCTGGCAGGGGCTCGGGAGAGCCCCTAGCTAAGACTCTGTGGGGCTCAGAGAGCCCCCAATAACCTCAGAAAGACAAGCAGCCAGGGAAAGCTCTCAGTAGGCTTAATTGAACTTCTGGGTGTTCAGCCAAGAGCATTTCACACCTGGTAACAGTGTGGCAAGCTAAATAATCACCCCACTCAGTGCTTGCGAGGGAGAGCCATTGAGAAAAATCAGATACATAGCCATTCGCCTCCAAGGGAATTAATTCCCAAATCATAAGAGTCACGTAACTCACCAGAAACTCCACTAAGACTCCCAAGGTCCTTCTCACAGTCACTGCTATTAAGCCTGGTTTCACTCAGTCTTTTTATTTAAGTATTAAATGCACAAAACAACAAACAACTTTTTGGTATATCATCTTTTTTTAGGTAATTAGGGCAAAGAAGCGACGTCGAGTTGGCCATGTCCACCCAGTCCCATGACCATCTACAGTAGCCTTGCCCACCTGATCTCATGACCAATAATCACATGACTACCTAGCCATGCCCACCCAGCCACATGCCCACCGAGCCATGCCCACCGAGCCAGTCATCAGGGCAGAGAGCCCCTTGCTAAAAAGTTTGAAGCCCACTCCTGTTTTACAATCCATCAATTCATGGTGTGGGTTGGTGGACATGTTTAGCTACGTTGCCAGACTGGCCAGGATCTTGGCTACCTGCCATCCCAAAGAAAGGCCTTACCTTCTGGAAACTGTGGAGTTGTGTCCTTCATTTCTTCAAGCATGCTGTGATTTTTTCCTCTCAGTCCTTTCTCCCAATCCGAAGCAACAGACTTCAGAGAGCTCCTGTATTTGTTGCTCAGTTCCAAGTAATAGTTGTTGAGGGGGCCTGAGGAAAATTGAAGAGAATGATTTCCTTAACAGAATAACGGAGTTGGCAGGGACCTTGGAGGTCTTCTAGTCCAACCCCCTGCTTAAGCAGGAGACCCTACACATCAACCCAGACAAAGGGTTGTCCAATTTCTCCCAAAGCCTCAAAGTAGCCCGAATAAGGGTGTGATAAAAATCAATTGCGATTCCTTACACTGTTGATTTTCTTCAAAATATTGCAGTGAGAACCCATGATTAGTTACTCCACTCTGAATATTAGCACGTTCCTGATAGAACATCTCAATTCTCTCCGAAATGTCTCTGTTAGAGAATGGATGAACAAACTGGAAAGGGGGAAAAATAATTTATTTAGTTTATGGAGTTGGCATTTTAAGAAAAAACATTGTATACATTGTCTGGGGAATATTGGCACTTTTAAGAAAAATGGTTCCCAAACAATTAGACACAAGGACGTTTTCCCCCCTCATGCCATCACTCGGCTAAACAACTAATTCCCACAACACTGTCAAACTATTTACTAAGACTGTATTACTATCATTCTTCTCATCTTTGCTATTACCTATCTTCTTTTTTACTGATGACTATAACTTTGTTGCTGATATGCTTACGATTTATATTGTTTTATGTAGTTTCCTAGTATGATTTGATTGCTTATTTAGTAACCTATGATTATCACTAAGTGTTGTATCTTATGATTTATGATGAATATATTTTTATGATGACTATGACCATGGTACCTCCAGTCATCCCGTGGTCATAGGTCAATGATTATTGACCTCAACATGAAAGAAGAGATGTTATATCTGGAAGTCTGCCCATGGAGATTGTTGTGGCCTATCAGCCACTGGCCCCTCCAGCAGCTGGATTAGAGGAGAAGGAAGTGTGGGAGTAGTCAGAGCCAGCATCAAGGCAATCTGAGAGCTCCAAGGAGGGAATGGAGCTGGCAGAGAGCAATAGAGCCTGGGCCATCCATCAGCCCTCAGATAGAGAATCAACAGCCCCCAGGTCTGGAGGTGGCTGATGAGGAAGAGGAGGAACAACTGGGTCCAGTGCCTGACACGTGGATGTGCAGAAAGCAGAGGAGAGGAGAGGAGTGGAAATCTATGGGCCATTCCTTGGGACAGAAGAAGGTGGCTGATGAAGAAGAGGAGGAACAGCTGGGTCTAGTATCTGATACATGGATGTGCAGAAGGGAGAGGAGAGCAGTGGAAATCTATGGGCAGTTCCTTGGGACAGAAGGTGGCTGATGAGGGAGGAACAGCTGGGTCTAGTATCTGATACATGGATGTCCAGAAGGGAGAGGAAAGGAGAGCAGTGGAAATCTATGGGCCAGTTCTTGGGACGGAAGATCCATCATTGCTAGCAAAGCCGCACCCTAGCGGAGATGAATAGGTGTGATAGACAACAGCCTTGTTAGCCTGTGTTGAGAGAAAAACTTTTGCTGGAGCTGCTGACACTCCTCTTCCTCCTCCTCCTCCTCCTCCTCTCTACAATTCCTACTCCCTTCTAGCACTGATGATGTTACCTAGTTTGGGCAATGTAACATCTACAAGAAAGCTACCAAGCTCAGAGAGTACCAAGGACCCCACAGTTCTCTTCCTACTCCTCCTTTCTGCAAATCCCACCTCCTTCTAGCACTGATGATGTTACCTAGTTGAGTCATAAAACATCTGCAAGAAAACAAGCAAGCTCAGAGAGCCTCAAGGACTCCTCATGTCGACCCCGAACCACAAATATTCTCCTTTATTAGAACTTTCTGTATTCAGAAGTGAATCCTACTCCAGTATTTTTCTGCTAAGAAGCCATAATGTCCACGAAGTTATCAGAAGCTACAGCTATAAACAATGCCTGTCAAGCAGAGATTGATCTCCCTCTGCCTCTCCATATTTTCATCCTTCATGCACTCACCCTTCTGGTCTCTAAGTTGTTGAGACGGTAGTATTTCACTGATCCAAAATATCCTTTAATTCCTGGCACGTATCCACTGCCCCCCAAAACCAAGTACCCATCAGTGTCATTGTAGTAGAAATCTTGCTGAAAACTAGAGTAGAAGGCAAATCATTGTTTTAGATTTCCATTCTGGAAAGAGCCAGAGTGGTAAAACAGAGAAATCACATCCTGCGTTGCAGCTCTGGAATGCTGCAGAATTGCATAGATAGATAGATAGATAGATAGATAGATAGATAGATAGATAGATAGAT